CGAGCAACTTCAATAATTAGTACTTCTTGATATGGGTAAAAGCAATCCCAGTCTACTCAAGAAAGTCAAACAAGCTTGGGGAGAAGTTCACAAGAAAGGAGCTGAATTTGGTAGGAAAGATGTTGTGGCAAGAGTGCCATATACTCTGTGGGTTTTTGATAGAGTCAAAATCAACAAGCTATCGTTTGACATTGATCCTCCATACAAGCCAGACATTCCAGTTCCTTTGCCAATATCTATAGAAGAAGTGGAAGAGCTAAGAAATTCCCTTGAGTAAGCCCAAAGGGAAAAGGAGGGATTAGAGCATGACCTTTATGACCTTTCCTATGAAAAGAATCAGTTTCAACAAGAGCTCGAGTTGAAAGACCAACAGATTCAAAAGGATCATGAAGTAGTTGATAAGGAGAGGCTTAAACAAAAGTGTTTGATTCAAAGGTTGCTAAGTGATACCTTTAATATTGATTCCTACAACCAATGTTTAGATGATGTAGCTAGGGAAATTGGAAGACTAAAGAGACGGCGTGGCAAGACAAGAGTGAGATGGAAGAAGTTTTGTAAATCCAAATCCAAGGGTTAGAAGAAGGTTATCAAGATCTAGGGGATCAGGTCCAAACCCTTATCACACGTCTCCAAGAAAGCCAAGAGTCAGAGGTGTTGGAACATCTTATGAAGATGAGAGCATAAAGACTTCTCTCTCGAAAAGTAGAGGAGTATGACAAGTCTGTCAAGATTTAGAAGGCCTTCAAAAATATCTCCTCATTCAAAGGGAACTCTATAAGGAGATGAGGGCTGAAAATATTTATTGGGAAGAGTAGTATACAAAGATTGCTCAAGCAGGAGAAGATGACAAGATCATAATCCCAACACTTTACAAGGAGTATCTGATATACAAAAACAAACATGCAAAGCTTGCTTTCTTAGCAAAAAATCTTATTGATGACATTCCTAAAAGTTTAAGAGATGCAAAAACCGTGATGGTCCCTCTTTCAAAGGACGTTGAAGACTTCCTCAAGCTTTGTAGGGAGATGGTTGATGGTTTTAGGGTAGAAATCTGCAAGTGTAATTAGGAGATATTATTTTCTATTGATATTTCTTTCAGTATTTGACATTTTGTTTTAATTCAGTATTTTCGTTCAATATTTCCTTTTAGTATTTGCTTCCGTAAGAATTGTATTTCCATTTTCAAGGATTATGGTTTATTCAATAAAAAGTATTTTATTTCAGTATTTTATTCGTGTACTTGGGATGCTCACCAGTAAAAATATATTTAAAAAACTGGAAAAAAATATAAGGTAATAATAAAAAGGAAGGTCATGTGGATAAGACATAAAATAAAATCTTCACGTATTCATATGTGTTCATTCATAAGCATAACATGTCATACCTCATACAAAAGTCTCATCGCTTTCATAACATCTCCAGTTAAATCATTGGTAAACATGCACCGCCATTCCGACCTCCATATCAAACTAGAGCTCATTAGAAGAAAGTAATGGAGAAACTCGAGCAGAACCAAGAAATTTTTCAAGAGGATTTAGAACAAGGGAAAGGAAGTATGGACTCAATGAAAAGAGATATAAGTCACATCTTGCTCGCATTGAAGAACACCATAGCAAGGAAAGACAAGATTCCCAATGTAGCCTTTACAGAAGTAGCCTAACCAACCAAGAAAAGAACCTGAATCCAGTCTCTTAAAGTTAAATGGTGCTCAACAAGAGACTAATCAGGCTCACATTGAAGGTTTTGTTCTACCTCCTCCGAAGGTAGAGACATTCCACACTTTGCATATTCCAGTCAACAATCCTCCCAATGTGGATAACTATTTAGACCTACAATATGGGGATCACGACTTGGAGGGTATAACTCAAATGCCTAAACAAAAGGCACTTCATACCAATGTTATTGAAGATCCTATGGAAGTCAATCAGTTCAAAGCCATTGATGAAAGACTGAAGTCGATAGAAGGTTATGATGCTTTTGATGTTGATGCTCTAGAAATGGGTCTAGTTCCAGATCTAGTGATTCCTCCCAAATTCAAAGTACTTGACTTTGGAAAATATAAGGGACTCACATGCCCAAGAACCATTTATGCATGTTCTGTAGGAAGATGTATGCCTATGCTCAAGATCAGAAGCTAATGATCCACTTCTTCCAAGATAACTTGAGTGGGGTATCTCTAGATTGATATATGCAGTTCGAACGAGCACATATCTGATCATGGGCCGATATCACCAGCGCCTTCCTAAAGCAATACAAACACAACTTGGATATGGATCCTAACCACATGTAACTTCAAAACTTATCTCAAAAGAAGGATGAGTCCTTCAAAGAGTACACTCAACTGTTGAGAGAAATGGCAGCCCGTCTACAACCACCACTCATGAAAGAATTGGTAGACATGTTCATGAGTTCTCTACAAGGGTTATACTATAAGAACATGGTAGGCAACATTTCCTCATGGTTCTCCAATTTAGTAATATTTGGTGGTAAGATAAAAGACGCATCCAATACTCCTTGAAACCCGAAGAAGCATGTTTCTAACTTCTCAAAAAAGAGGGAAGGAGAAACGAATGTTGTTGTAGCTCATCAGAAGGCACAACCACCATTGGTGATCCCACAAGAACAACAGCCAAACAGGTTTGAAAGGCCTCCGAGAAGATTTAATCCTCTCCCAATGCTACAGAGTCAACTACTATAACACTTACTCAAGGCATCCTTGGTAGAGCTAAAGCCACTAGCTCCTTCGATCGGGTCACTCCCACCAAAGTATGATGCAAATGCATGGTGTGAGTATCATGCTAACTCTCCAGGTCATACAATAGAAAAATGTTGGGCCTTCATACACAACGTTCAAGACCTATTGGACTCCAAGGATTTCACTTTTGATAAACCTAATATCAAGACAAACCCCATGCCTCAACATGGTGGTCTGGCTATGAATGCAATTGAGATAGTCACTAACCGTGGAGCAGCTAAACGAGTAAAAGCCTTGATAAATATATTGAAAGAACATTTGTTGAACATGGATTTCTGCTGGAACACAACAATGCTTTCGAGAAGACTTTGCAAAAATTGGTGGATCGGGGGATAGTCCAATTCGGATGATATCCTGAAGAAGAATATGTAGTTGCAATTAATGGGAATACAAGGAGGTTGTTGGTAATTCCTTGCCAAGGGTCGAGTTTTGTCAAGAAAACTCGTGCAATTCCTTGTGGAGAGCCAAGCACGAAAAAAATACCAATAACAATATCATGCCAAGGTCCAACTCTGAAGGTACCAGTGCCTCCGAAGAGTACGATGGTAAGCAAGGGACCATCTCATGTTCCCTACGAAAGTGATAAAGTTATACCATGGAATTACGATACTATTGTCTATGTCAATGGGTTAAAACAAGAATGTGAACTGTCAACAAGTCAATAGCCTACAATTACAAATATAGCAGGAACATGGAGCATGACCCGTAGTGGTCAGATATATGGTCTGGAATAATAAAAGAAGTACAATATTATGGACAAGGATAAAGGAAAAATTCTGGCTGAAACTAATCAGGAACAGAAACTTTCGAGTAAAAAATTTACTGTCCAATATGTTACACCTCAAATTTATCCGTCTTATTTTCTACGACCAAATGGTTTTCAAAATTGGATTTTATAAATTTCTTTGGTTTATTTACACTAATGTTTTGTGTTTTATAAATAGTCCTTTTCAATTTATTTTGTCTATTTAAAAAATATATAATAGTTTATTTTATTTCTTAAATAACAAATACTTGTTCGTCTTCGTATACATTTAATTAACTTTATATTTTGAATAAGTAATATATCATAATTGATAAGGGATAAAGCTTGCAAGTATAAGGTCATGGGTTCAAATCTCACAGGTTCCACTTTGGATATTTTTTCTGTTATTTGTTACTAACTTTATTTCCATTTTTTAATCATTTTCAAAATCGTTAAAATAATATTTTTTATTATTTAAATACTATTTTTGTTTTCTTTTATTTATTATATTTTAAAATATTATTAAAATCATTATTTTCTGTAAAAAATAGTCAAAAAATCTAAAAATAAATAAAATCCTATTCAGTTTAAATATTTTTCAAATCTATCTTGCATCTGGTCACAAATAAGTCCAGATTCTTAGACTTGTTGATCAAGATAGAATCATAAGTTTTGGGTTTTTCTTGGTGTGAGTTATTTTTTTTGGGTGTTTTTAACCTAATTTCAAATCTATAAATAAGGCTCTCTTCACTCTAACTTTTCACACACAATCTTTTACAATTTCACACACACCCACGAAATCTACAATTTCACTATAATCAACATATCCACACTATTTCACTAACACACGTTTTTTCAAACCTTTATGTGATTTTTTATCAATAATTTTTTACTAATTATTTAATATGAGACCACCCTCACTCCTTTTTATTTTCAATTTCAATTTATTTACTGTTTAAGCCATATGATGATAATAATCTAATGGTTCAATTAGATCTATTGGTCCGTATAATATTTCTTATGCATATTTCATATTTCTTTTATCTTTGTTTCTTAACAATTCCATCATTTAATAAATATTTACTAACTTCTTTTAATAAAGAAATTATTTATTAATTTATTTTTTATATACACATTACTAATAGGAAAAATTTTAGGTGTATTTCCTTAAATTTGGTTTATGTTTTTTTTTCCAATGAAAGTATGACAAGTGTATAATTTCTTCTTACACATATACAATTTCTTTCTATTTTTACTCCTTAAAAAATATTTAGATATATTTGTTATATTTTTATTAGATAAAAGTATGAACACACCTATACAATTGTATCCTTACTGATATTCTTGTTTCAATAATTTACGTTATTAATTTATGCTAATTTTCTTTACCGATATTTTCACTATTTTACGTTATATTTTCTTTACTGATATTTTCAACAATTTACGTTATATTTTCTTTACAGTAACATCACTTATTTTCATTCACATAACCTATAGAATTTTTTTCAAAACACTCACAATCATGCAAAACCACTACCACACAGACAAACTCCTTCAGACGCACACCGCATCCGCTCAACTTACACCGCCACGAAACGTCATGCAAATCTCAGATCCGAAACACCTTTTCCGATTACAAACCACTCACAAAGGGTCGCAGACTATCGTGCTCCACCGTCGAAGAACCTGACGAAACTCCGATCTGTATCAGTTGCGCCGCTGCTCAAATCCATGCGCAACCGTCGGTCGTTTCCCGTCGTCGCTGTTCAGAGCTCAGCCACCGCGCCTCTGTCAGAATCCATCGCGCCAACACACAGCTCCAACACACCGTCACAGAACCGTCGATCCACACAAGGCCTATTTCTGGAACTGTCTGATCCCACGGTTAGCTGCCACCGGTAACACATTTTTTGTCTCTTCCTTTATGTATTGTTGATTGTTGTTGAAATTAGATATTAGGATTGTTGTTTAAATATGTTGTGATTGATAGAAATTGGAGGATTAAGAGTTAGATTTGTTTGAAAAGTATAGACTTTCATCTTGTTGGTTTTCTCTGTGAGAAAATAACAAAGAAAAGTTAGAGGAGAAGAGTAAATTGATATGAAATTGGAGAAGAGAGACTTTGATTTGTTTTCATTGTTGTTTCTTTTCAATTACTTGTTATATATTATTTGTTTTATCATCTTTTTTATTCATTAAAGATCCACGATGTGTTGTGATACAATTGGGCGTTGCTTTTTTTTATGAGTTTGGAAAAAATATCATTTATTTGACCAAGATATTGTTAGAAATTTAGGGTGTGATAATCCTGGATAACTTCGATGAATCGTGTTCATACACTTTCCGAACAAAGTATTTCGACCCTATTCTTGTCTGGGTTCACGAAATCTTTGTGGGGATAATTCTCGAAGAAATTCTGTTTCCGACAAAAGAAAACGAATTGTAATTATAGAGAGAAGGATCCGTTTTTTCTGTATGCGAGACCGAGGCCGAACGACTCCTTATATAGGAGAGCAGTAATTGAAAACAAAGAGACACATTTGTTCGAAACGAATATGTCAGTTGGGAAACAGTTATGTCCGTTGGGGAACAGTTATGTCCGTTGGAGCTTCCGCCCCTTGGACCCCAAGGGGCGCTGCCCCGCACCCCGCCAGGGGCTTCGCCCCTTGGAACCCCGTTTCAATTATTCGTATTCAATTATGCATTGGCTCGACGAGCGTGCACTCCGCACTTCCCTAACTCGTCTCCGAACTTAACGCATAATTGCATCGGCCTTTAGAAATCACATTACTACTAAAATACATTGGTGATACAAAATCGCCAACAGATATTAGAAGAGGAAACAACTTAATAGGAATAAGGTGAGATTTAAGAGTAGGATCTCTTCTTTTTCCTCGTCCATTTCTTCTATTCTTGTTGTTGTGTCTTTGGTTGGGAATTCTTCTAAGGTTTCTTATATAAGTATGTATGATTTTGTTATTATCAAAAGATTCAAGGTTACTGTTCGTCCTCTGAGGGCACCGAATATCATAGAGGTCATTTGGAAACCCCCGCCTATAAACTGGATAAAAATCACGTGTGACGGAGTTTTGATTTCTCCTTCCAGTTTTTCTACTTGCCTTTTTTTGTGGCCAATTCTCTCATGGCCGAACTTTTCGATGCTATTTTAGCAATTGAGTTCGCTTATGAGAGGAACTGGCATAATATTTAGTTAGAAACTGATTCGACGGCGGTGGTCAATGCTTTCAAATCTCCGTTTAAAATGTTGTGGCAAATTAGAAATAAATGGATGAATTGTATAAATATAACCTCTAATTAGAGTTATCTGATTTCTCATATTTTTAGGAAAGGGAATAGATTTGTAGATGCCTTTGCTAATATAGGTCTTACTCTAACAGAATCTACTCACTTTTACCTTCGTCCCTTCTTTCTTAAGGACTGATTTTATAAAGAACAGACTCAATTTGTGTCCTTCTGATAAAGTCTTGGTTGATGTCTCCCTATCATTTGTAACACCTTTCTTTTCATATATGAATCATTATTTAAAAATAAACTTGATGCGGCACCATCCCTCCGAGGATTCGTTATTTTTTATTTCTATGTTTTTTTAATTAATCTATTATGAGTTTGGACAAGGATTAGCTTTTGAAGTATTTTATTATCTATTATTTGTAATAGATTTAAACTATTTGTTTTGATTGAGTTTTTAGTTAATTAAATCTAATTAATTTAGGTTTCTTATTAAAAATACAATAAATAACAAAAAGCAAGAAAATACAAACAAAAAAACATTAAAGATACCAAAACTTAAAAAAATATATTTTCATAATTGACAAAAAATATAAAAACATGCCAATTTCATTTTATTTATTTAGTTATGATTACGTAATTTAATTTATTAAATTAAATTTAGCTTAGTTAGTTTATAAAGAAAATAACAAAAACAAACACGTTTTTATGTATATAATCAAATTCTTTTTTTTTTAAATAATTAAATTATTTTCAATATTTTTTTAAATAATAGAACTTCATATCCTCGAATAATCAATTGGTCTTCACCAATTAGTTATTTAAAATAAGACATTAAAATTCACGAACGAATCAAATCAATTTTTTGCCTAGCACGATCTAATTTCAATGAAGATCGACTCTTCAATCAATCTACCAAACTTAATCAAAATAACTAATCAATCTAAGTTATTTTTTTACTAACATAATAAAACTCAAGATATTTTCATAAAAATAATTAAATAGGATTACTTTCAAAGTTAACTGCGAATTACGTCTAGGATCACTCTTTTACAAGGCCAAAACAATGTTCAAGGATAAATCGAAAGCAATTATACGCGGTCCTGTAAAAAACACCAACCAAAAATATGAACTATGAAATTAGACTCTGATTCTTCGTAAGGAGATACGCAAGCACGCGGTTAAGACTAAGTTGAATCCCTTACTTAAAAGCTTAAATCTTTTCTTGTATATATAATAACAACATGCCTTTAAATAGAAATTCTCGATTTACCTTAGAATCTAAAATAGAAAGCCCCTTAAGAGCAAGGGAGATAAAGGGTGCCTAACACCTTCCCTTTATCTAACCGACTCACGAACTTAGAATATCTGACCAAATTAGGGTTATCTGTTATTTTCCCATCCTTATGACAAAAAGTAGTGGTAGTGAATCTTTTTTTTTACGGTTACGACACAAGAGGCTGGTGAATTTTTGAAGATAATCAAGAAAAATGACTATAGGGTGGTGGATCAACTACACCAAACCGCGACCAAGATTTCAATACTCTCATTATTGATCAATTCAGAGGCACACCGAGATTCTTTGATGAAAAGTCTAAGTTCTGCTCATGTCATAAAGGAGATCACCGTAAATCAATTTGATGGAGTCGTGGACAATCTAACGTTAGGATCACGCCTAGGCTTCAATGGCAGTGAGTTATCCCCACAAAGAAGAGCTCACAATAAGGCGTTGCACATTTCAATCCAATATGTAATAACTAGCTTATCTAGGATACTCACTGATACTGGTTCTTCCATCAATGTACTACCAAAGGCCAGTTTAATGAAGCTAATAATGGACGACATCGTCATAAGACCAAGTTCTATGGTGGTTAAAGCTTTCGGTGGTTCTCAAGGCATTGTGTTTAGAGAGGTGGATCTCCCTGTAAAGATCGACCCGTATATGTTCCACATTACCTTTTAGGTAATGGATATAGGACAACATATACTTGCTTGCTCAGGCGACCTTGGATTCATGCAGCAGGGGCGACCATCTCAACCCTACATCAAAAATAGAAGTTCCTCGTCGAAGGAGAAATGGTTGTGATCGAAGGAGAAGAAAATATCTTTGCAAGTCATTTGGATTCTTACAGATACATCAGTGTGGAAGAAGACTGTGTGGCAACTCCTTTCCAAGTCCTAGAAGTCGCTATAATGGTAACCCTACTAGTGGAGAAAATCAAGAAACTAGAAACTATTGTGACTTCATGGAGAGATTTACAAACAGTCGTGGAAGATCGAACATCTAACAGTTGGGACAAGCTTGTGGAGATACCTGAGAAGAAAGATCATTTTGGTTTGGGCTATAAACCTTCAAAGGTTATTCAGAAAGGTGAAGGACAATTTCCTCTCATCCAAGAGACCTTTGTCAGCAAAGGAGTATAGCATGGTGGAGAATTGTCAATGATATCCTACAAGAGTAACAATAAAGGAGCATTCAACTTCATCTGTGAATGTGCTTCATGCGAAGAGCTCGAGAATTGGACAGCTGTGGATATTCTAGAGATATTTTTCTTTCCAAAGTAATTTTTTCTGTTTTAAAAAGAATCTATGTCCCGCCCGAGGCATATGGGTAGCATGTAAGGTCCCCCATTTATTTCAAACAGTATTTTCAATTAATAAAAGTTATGTTTTGCATTCGATTAAGATCCATGCATTTCTTTAATTTATTACCTTTTTCAAAAATGGCAATACTTTTACCTCATACACACTTTCCAATTTCACATTCTAAAATGAACTAAAACATGAGAAAATATGCAAATCCACATCTAAACTCACCGATAATGATACTACTACTATTCGATATGACTTTAATGCACCAATTAACCAAGCTTAAAAGGAATATGAGGAAGACTATGAACTCTCTGAGGAGTTGGCAAGGTTAATAGAGAAAAGATCTAATGATATATGTGATACGGTGGAAGAACTAACTCGGGACGTTTTGCGTTTGATCGCAATTGTGCGGTTAGCAAGAGTCTCCACCGACTTTTCTTTTATCCAAAAGGAAAGGTAAAAAAGAACAGGAAAGACCTTTCGAGATTACTTCTCGTGTTCGGGGGGTAGATTATGAATAGGGAAGGTGTTAGCACCCTTTTCATCCATGGTTTTCCATGGACTCTTAGTTACTCGCGAGATCACTTGCTTTTATTTGAATGTGCTTGTGGTGTGGGTTTTGAAAGTATTTTGAAAATGTCTTTGTAATGATTCTCGTCTCTATAAGAACGCGTACAAAGTGTTGTTTCGAAAAATAGTTCAAATAGGTGTTTGTGGAATGTGTTTTTAAAAATGTCCTTGAAAAGATGTTTTTGTAATGGTTATCGTCTCTATAAGAACGTATACAAAAAGTTTTTATCTTTTGAAAAAGTTTTAATGTGAAAGTGTTGGTGTAAAGTGTTTGGTTGTGAGCAAGCGAGCAACTAAGAGCGAATCTACCTACTCGAAAGGTCTTAAATGTTCTTTTCCTCCTTTAGATGTTGCTATCTTACCATTGATTTGGTAAGAAGCCCCATCGTTGGATGTGAAGGGACGGGCGCAGGACGTTTGTACAGTCATAAAAGGCAACTTATGAGACGCTTTAGCAATTTTTGTAAGGGACTAGATCGTTTTACCGAAGG